TCCGTGAACCTGACTTGCCCAGTAATGCCAACTGTTCTCCAGAATGACTGCTCAGTCTCTATTCCCACTGGGAGTACAGGAGGGCTCCCAGTCTCCGTTTCTCTGACAATAAATACATTGCATTGCATTTCTTTTTAACTTTTGCCAACCTAGTTATAAGGTCAACATAAAAAGCTCATTATTAGTGTCCCATTGCCTCTTTGGAGATGACCAAACTTGATCTGTAACAGTTTTTTCGAGAGTTTGTGACATGAGCTGCTGCCAAACGAATTCTCCTCAAGCCAGTGTTACCATTACATATGTGAATTCTGGACCTGCCATTCATTTCTTTTACATTTTCCCTAAGTAGTGCTAGTCTAGGACTCCAGTCTATCAAAGTTATTTTAAAGTCTTTGTTGCATTTATTTTTTAATCACCCCCCCCCAACTTTGAAAGGGTGAAAGGATAGGAAAAGGGTGGTGATTTTTCTAACTTACACACAAAAAGGTGAAACTTAAAGCATCTAAGTTGCTCGAGGTCACCTAGCGGCAGGTAGAAGAGCCACATTTGAACCAGGTTTGTCCAAAAGCCAACACCTTTCACGTATAGGATCATACCACATTTTGCAAAATGGTGCAGAATACTGGGTACCTGAGAAATAATCCAGGCTCCTTTCAGTTTTACAATTAAAAACATTATTTTGAGAATTAGAATAATCCCCTCTCTGGCCTTTGTAAATAAATACAATGAAAAGATACCAATTGTGACCTACTGAAAAACTGTTAGGACCTCAAAAGATATCACTGCAGAAATTATTATTATTATTTTTGAGACAGAGTCTCACTATGGTGTCCCTGGTAGAGTGCCATGGCATCACAGCTCACAACAACCTCAAACTCTTGGGCTTAGCCATTCTTCTTGCCTCCGCCTCCCAAGTAGCTGGGACTACAGGTGCCCACCACAACTCCTAGCTATTTTGTTGTTGTTGTTGTAGTTGTCATTGTTGTTTGGCAGGCCTGGGCGAGGTTCAAACCCTCCAGCCCCAGTGTATGTGACTGGCACCATAGCCGCTGAGCTACAGGCACTGAGCCAGAAATTATTATTATTTTTTATTTCAGGTTGATGTGTGGGTACAGACAGCTAGGTTACAATGTTTGCATTTGTTAGGTAGAGTCCCTCTTGTAGTTGTGTCCTGCACCCAAGAGGTGTGCCATATACCCTTACATGGTGCCTATTAAGTGCAAGCACACTAGCCCCCTCTCTCCTCCCTATTCCCCCTCCCTCATTCCTCCTACTCCCAACTTGAATTGAATTGAGTTTTTCTTTTATGTGGGCTTGTAGTTGTTCATCTACTGGCTTCTTATTATTATTGAGTACATTGGATACTTGCTTTTCCATTCTTGTGATACTTTACTAAGAAGAATGCGCCTCAATTCCTCCAGGAAGAAATTATTTTGTTTATTAAAAATGGTTCAAGATGGAGGGAGGAATGGGTTTTCCTATGACTTCCACACTTTTGCACCTACTCTTCACCGGAAATCTCCTTTCTCCACGTAGACAACTCTTACTCCTCCTCCACCTACCTATTCA